AGGGGAAGCAGCTACCACGTGGTAAGAATACTCAAGCAGAGCCCACAAGAACAAGAACTCGGGCCTCCCACCAACAGCCAGACCAACTTCCCAGCTGTGTGAGTGACCACCTTAGCAGTGGATCCTCCAGTCCCAGTCACACCTTCAGATGGCCCCAGCTGACATTTGACCACAACCTTACTAGAGACTCTGGGCCAGAACAGCCCAGCTGAGCTGTGCCTAAATTCCTGACCCACAGAAACGGTGAGAGATATAATTAAATTAGCACTGTTGTTTTAAGCCACTAAATTTGGAGTGATTTGCATATATCGTTAGATAAAAAATTCACCAGATAAGTCCTTTGACCTCTCCTGTCAGTAAAAGGAAATGATAATCACCGTTACTTAAGATGTAATTAGGCTACTTACTTTACTCCTTTGCCCAGCCCACAGTTAAGGGTGAAAAAAAATGAATTATTATATCATCTAATAATGAAGAGAGACAAAGGCACGAATATCCTTAAGTCTATAATCAATAAGTATCATTATCAAGGAAATGGAGACATGATTCCCAGGTTGCTGATAACCTATTAAATCACGAGGGCACATGCCATCACAAGGTCTCAGTATGGCCTGGGCACACCGTCCCCCAGACATCTCCTCTGAGGGTGTAGGCAAGGCTGCGATACCCAGTACCACGTCCAGGCTGAACAAGAGAACCTGGGCTAGGACTCCAGTTCCCTCACTACTATTTTTTTTTTCCCTCACTACTATTAATATTTTATTCCCAACACTTTCTTTCAGGACTCACAGGCCTCTAGTCGTGGCATGTTCTCTCCTGTAGGGGACAGAAGCAAACAGGGAAACCAGACTCAAAGCTCTTGTTTACTGATCTCAGACTGGTTCACTTCCCTCAAAACCTTTGCTCTTCACTGATATATGTCTTTCCTTATCAAAATCCTTGAAAGAAAGCTTTACCAAGGCCTCCCTGCCCATGCTGACATGCAGGACTGGACAGAACAAATGCTGTTGTGCATTCCAGCTCTTTCCTTTACTGGGGCTTGCTGGAGGTTCTGGCTGGAGCAGCCCCTGTCATGTGGCAGGGAAAAAAAGGGAAGGCACCTCAGAATCACAAGATCTGAGTTTATGTCCTGGCTTCTACAACTCCTCCACCTCCTTCCTGGTCTTGGAAGAGGACTGAGCTACACCAGCAGATGGGCTAAGAAGGGGATCAGAATCTGAGGTCTGGGGCAGGAAATCCTTATTCAGTAGAACAGGAGAAAAACAGCTACAGCTGAAAGTGAAATAAAAAACCATGCAGGGTCCCAAATGCCAAGAATAAGGCCAAGGGCAACACCAAATCTGGATGGGCCCCAGACCAAGACAGAGCACCCTTTAAATATCCCTGTGTGGCTGGGCGCGGTGGCTCATGCCTGTAATCCTAGCACTCTGGGAGGCCGAGGCGGGTGGATCGCTCAAGGTCAGGAGTTCGAGACCAGCCTGAGCAAGAGCGAGACCCTGTCTCTACTAAAAATAGAAAGAAATTATCTGGACAACCAAAAATATATAGAGAGAGAAAAAATTAGCCGGGCATGGTGGCGCATGCCTGTAGTCCCAGCTACTTGGGAGGCTGAGGCAGGAGAGAGGATCGCTTGAGCCCAGGAGTTTGAGGTTGCTGTGAGCTAGGCTGATGCCACAGCACTCTAGCCCAGGCAACAGAGCGAGACTTTGTCTAAAAAAAAAAAATATCCCTGTGATGAAACAGTCACTCAATAGACACAGCCTGAAGACATCACAGCTGACATTTCCCATTAATGTCACATTTTCCCTCTCTTAGATAGTGAGGTGGGTTGGGGAGGAAACCTAGCTGACATTTGCATCTTTCTTTCTTAGGCCAGCAAGAACATGCATACAGCCGTCTAATTTACAGGAACCAATGTGATGACAATGTGACTTTGAGTAAGTCACAGGATGACAATGTGACTTTGAGTAAGTTGCAGCCTCAGTTTATTCATCTATAAAATGTGATTAATATTAATACCTAAACCATGTTTTTTTAAAAAGTGACTATAGCCCAGGCACAG